AGGGTATTACAGATGGGGAACTGAGACATTGAAGCCAAAAGCACCCACCAATACCAGCAGAAAGGGAAAGGGCCAAAGAGAAATTGGGATCCTGCGATTGACAATTCCCAGGGCCAAAGGGGTGAGGCAACTCTCCAAGTCAAACTGACTGATTGGGCAGGCAGGCCAATAAGGGAGGCAAGAGCCTGGGGTCCATCTTCCATGTGAGCTCGGGCTGCCAGGGGCAGAGTAGAGCAGAGCTAAGAGGAGAGCTGCCCAGAGACAGAGAAGACAGAGCTAGGCTGGCAGCAGAGCAGCAGCAATACTGAGCCAGAGGAGGCAGAGCTGGGCTGGAGGCAGTGCTGGGGAGCTGCAGCAGCCTGAAGCCAGGAGCTGGAGCAGCACAGACCAGCCATGCAGATGGCGAGCCAGGGCTGAGCTACAGTGAGGAGCTGCAGGGGCAGAGCCGGGATAGCAAACACTGTCTGAGACCTAGGTAACACGGGAGCCAAACACGGCGAGTGGCTGGGGAGAGTAAGGTGTGGGACCTTGGGCACCAAGGGCCCATTGGACGGAGACATCACCAGAAAAGAGGCCTTTAAGGCTGCACTTGGAGGGGGGACATGAACCCGACAGGAGGGCTGATGCTGAGGAGAAGGATCTAGAACCACCACCAGGGCAGGTGTCTCACCCACAGTATCACCGCAGCACAGTCAGGGTCTGGGAGGAAGGCCTAGGACGGGTGAGATCTTTTCCTAAGTTGTGAAATTTTCTTAAGCTACAGTTTATGGTGTTCCCCATGCCCATAGTGCAGGGTTCCTTGTTTCTTTAACCTTTTCCATTTTTCCCTTATTTTTCTTACAGTTGCGGTTTCATATGTTGTATTTGGTTTATTATAGAATCATAGAATATCAGGGTTGGAAGGGACCTCAGGAGGTCATCTAGTCCAACCCCCTGCTCAAAGCAGGACCAATTCGCAACTAAATCATCCCAGCCAGGGCTTTGTCAAGCCGGGCCTTAAAAACCTCCAAGGAAGGAGACTCCACCACCTCCCTAGGTAACGCATTCCAGTGCTTCACCACCCTCCTAGTGAAATAGCATTTCCTAATATCCAACCTTGCAACTTGAGACCATTGCTCCTTGTTCTGTCATCTGCCACCATTGAGAACAGCCGAGTTCCATCCTCTTTGGAACCCCCCTTCAGATAGTTGTAGGCTGCTATCAAATCCCCCCTCATTCTTCTCTTCTGGAGACTAAACAATCCCAGTTCCCTCAGCCTCTCCTCATAAGTCATGCACTCCAGACCCCTAATCATTTCTGTTGCCCTCCGCTGGACTCTTTCCAATTTTTCCACATCCTTCTTGTAGTGTGGGGCCCAAAACTGGGCACAGTATTCCAGATGAGGCCTCACCAATGTCAAATAAAGGGGAACGATCACGTCCCTCGATCTGCTGGCAATGCCCCTACTTATACAGCCCAAAATGCCGTTAGCCTTCTTGGCAACAAGAGCACACTCTTGACTCATATCCAGCTTCTCGTCCACTGTGACCCCTAGGTCCTTTTCTGCAGAACTGCTACCTAGCCATTCGGTCCCTAGTCTGTAGCTGTGCATGAGATTCTTCCGTCCTAAGTGCAGGACTCTGCACTTGTCCTTGTTGAACCTCATCAGGTTTCTTTTGGCCCAATCCTCTAATTTGTCTAGGTCCCTCTGTATCCGATCCCTACCCTCTAGTGTATCTACCATGCCTCCTAGTTTAGTGTCATCGGCAAACTTGCTGAGAGTGCAGTCCACTCCATCCTCCAGATCATTAATAAAGATATTAAACAAAACCTTTGGATGCAGCTTTTATATGCAGGTATTGTATCTAAAATGTTCTGTTTTCCCCCCTTTCTCCTCCCCCCCTCTCATTACCTATAAAAGGATGAAGACAAGTTTTCAGACAGCTATTCAGATAGAAAAGCTGGCAGCTTATACTGCTGACAAAAGCTATTGCCTAAATTGCTTAAACGCTTGAGTTGAATAAAATTGTTGATTCTACTAATTGTAAGCAGGGGAATGGTCCCACTATTGTGGGGAACTTCCCTAGCTGCTGTACGGATAGCAAAAGGAGCCGAATCCTCACTCCAACTCTCTTTACCTGCCTGAGCTTGAGGACTCCTATTATATTCTCCCATGTGGCAGAGTCCTCGTAACCCTGATAAGGCTGGGCCCAGGATTCCTGGGAGGCTTAACCCCCAGTCTTGTCACGGACACTTACAACAGGGGCTCGGGCGTCCCCCCTCCAGGGAACTCTCTCCTCACTGATCCACTGCTCACTATAATAAGTTTAAACTTATTATAAGTGGAAAAAATTTAAACTTATTATAAGTGGAAAAATCATGGAGCAAGTCCTCAAGGAATCAATTATGAAACACTTAGAGGAGAGGAAAGTGATCAGGAACAGTCAGCATGGATTCACCAAGGGGAAGTCATGCCTGACTAACCTAATTGCCTTCTATGATGAGATAACTGGCTCTTTGGATGAGGGGAAAGCAGTGGATGTGTTATTCCTTGACTTTAGCAAAGCTTTTGATATGGTCTCCCACAGTATTCTTGCTACCAAGTTAAAGAAGTATGGGCTGGATGAATGGACTGTAAGGTGGATAGAAAGCTGGCTAGATCGTTGGGCTCAACGGGTAGTGATCAATGGCTCCATGTCTAGTTGGCAGCCAGTTTCAAGCGGAGTGCCCCAAGGGTCGGTCCTGGGGCCGGTTTTGTTTAATTCAGGAGTGGGGTAAAAAATTTCAAAAACTGCATCAGCGAAACCTTTGGAGTTCATGGAGTCATCAGAAATGTTTTAAAATATAATAATTGGCCAGATATTAAGGACCATATTCCATTCAGGCCTTTTTAACACTAAAAATACACTAGCTGTAGGGTATAGTGATTACATACTGACAGGTATTGGACTTTCTCCAATAAAATATACATATGGCTCATCGGAGTCAATGGAAGTAAAGGCAGGAGCATGCGCTTGGACCCACATCAAGAATTGCAAATGCATGGGACATCTAGAATCCCTCTACACAGTATATGTTTTCAGGCCAACTACTCTACAGAAAAGTAACTTTAAAAAAATAATGAGTCAGAATCTGGCCACACCACAGAGCTGGAAAGCTGCTGCATCTCCCCAGTTGATGATTCTTTTGGTGTGGGTTTAGTCCCCAGCTGGTGAACACAGCTGGTATAACCAGCTGCTATGCTATTGTCCTTGCAACCCCTGCCTTTGGTGACATTGAGACGGTAGCAGTGGGCACAGCCAGAGCACCACTATGCTCCAGTGATCCTTGACCCATGGATGGCTCTTTAGGGACCAATCGTCTGCTGGCATAGGGTGAGCCTCAAGATCAGGAAGCTGCAATTGGCTACTATGCAGTCCCAGCTGTTCCCCACTGCAATCTTGACATTTAGTTTCTGTTTTAGAAAAACAGAAACATTTGGAGAGAGAAAATGTCTGAATCAAACATCAGTGACCCATCCCATTCAAATAGCTGACCTCTTAAACCCCGATTCTCCATAATTTTTTATACTGGATAAAAGCAGAAATATCTCATTTCCTTATAAAAGCCTGTTTAAATGTACTTACTGATTTTACCATCCCATTTTGGAAATGGAAAAAACAAAAGCACAAATTGATGTCTGGCAAAGTTTCTTTATGACAGATCATATTCCTCATATCACAAAGCATTAGTTCAGAACTAAGATGCATAGACATTTTATTTGCAAGTACACCAGTAGAAATATTGCTTTGTAAACACTTCCACTTCTGATTGTAAATTGCTATGTTTACATATGAAATTCATTTAGACTGGAAATCATCCCATTTTACAAATTAGTACAATCTATTACATTTGTCTCAAAGAGAAATTAAACCTTAAATGGCAACGTTCAAGATAATCTGAAACAGGGTGTTTTAGCAATTCCATATGTAATTGGATGTATGTTTTCTGTATTTCTTTTCCAGGCATGGCTGATTACTAAATAAAAATACTTTCTTCTATATAACCACCTTGGATCATTTCGTGTTGCCACATGTAGATTTTAGCCCCATGTCTTCACCACAATTTCCATGTCAGAATATTTGAGGTGTTAGATACACTGGTTTTGAAAGAAAGTGAAAGGAGGATTATGAAGGAGAAAAATTGCACTAACATCCAAATATCTTGATGATCAGCAGTGACTGAAATGTGCCAGGTATGCATAAAAGATATGCTAGGTATGCATAAAACATAAAAACCAATATCAGATTGCCCTTTTTATGTATAAAGTTGTCAAATCAAAGTACTATCCATCTTAGGTACTTCTATATCTCCCTTCATGGACCCCACAATCTTATTTGTATCTATCCTTACAACACCCCTGTGTGATAGGGAAGTGCTGTTATCCCCATTTTACAGATGGGGAACTAAGGCCCAGAGAGATTAAGTGACTGACCCGGGGTCACACAAGTTGTTTATGGTGAAACAGTAACTCACACCCCAGGTTAGTGCTCTAACCTGTGGACCATTCTTCCTGCATACACATTCATTATATTACAAGAGTTGCTCTGTTGAATCTCACTGCAGAATACCATGAAAACTAGATAGTATTTTTGGTCTATCTAGATTAGAGATCTAATTAGAGATCCTGAGGTGCAAAGTCTGGCTCTAGATTGAGAGGAGGGAGCTGGTAGGTCAAATACTGGGCTTGGGTTCAGTCCATTACTGGAAAAGGCAGCTGGTTACAGAATTGGGATCTGGATTCAAACTTTTCCTAACTTTCCATGTTATTTGGATGTGGGGTTTTAACCTCAGGCCCATCTCTAGCCTGAATTTACCAGAACTCAGAGTGTAGCCCCATTACAGTAAGTTTGTCATACTTTCTCTTTGAAGCACAAATTGTCACATAAAAGTTATTGAGTGCAAAGGCTAGAAACAGAATAATTACGTAAATGCCCTGAGATATCATTGTCTGCCAGATGCTGGTGTCTTTAGCGTCTCACATTATCTCGTATGGAATCGGTCTCTTCAGTTTACTTTTCAAAAGAAACCCAACAAGAGTGAAAATAACAGCTGCAAGCACCACAGCCGTAACAATAAATGGAGCCTGGGAATGACCAGCAGTAGTGGTAAGTGAACCACGGGAATCCACATCTTCCTGATGTTCAGAATAGTCCAGCTCTGTGAGTTGAGAAAGAGAGTTTGTTACATTTTGTTCTCTGTTCTAGTTATTTGCCAAAGATACTAGGACAAAGAGAACTTGAATTTAAAAAGTTACATTCTAGATCAGGTCAAGAAATAAATCAATTTCACTCTATTTTATACAAGACATTCTAGACACATCAATCCATCTTTATATTAGTAAAGACTATTTCATGAACTGAACCCCCAGCAGGGATGTTTTAGGTTCAATATTAAGAAAACATCATAACTAGCACAAGAGGTAGGGAATGGAATCATTTTTCAAGGAAGGTTGGAGGGGAGGGATAGCTCAGTGGTTTGAGCATTGTCCTGCTAAACCCAGGATTGTGAGTTCAATCCTTGAGAGGGCCATTTAGGGAACTGGGGTAAAAATCTGTCTGGGGATTGGTCCTGCTTTGAGCAGGGGGTTGGACTAGATGACCTTCTGAGGTCCCTTCCAACCCTGATATTCTATGATTCTCTTTACTGGAGATATTCAAGGTGAGACATGTCAACTACAGTTCTTGAACAGTTTGGGGATAATTAAATCAATGAAGCTATAAGAAGAAGATGGACTGCAGCTCATCTTTCTTCTTGAAGAATTTATTCAATTAGCATTTTTGGGATGTGCAGATTAAAATGATGGATTTGAAATGTGCTAAATAAGGAACTAATGTAGATGCTATTGGTCAATAAACAAGTCCCTAGTGTTTTTAATGGAGCTGATGATAACCCAGTAAAAGCATGCTGCAGTGCTAGAAATCGGAAGTAAGCTGACATGCAAAGATTTTGTACAATGAAATGAAAAGTGATTTACAGAACCTTATACTAAATACAAGAGAAGGTTATTTGCATTTACCAGCATTCCTGTTCTCAGTGCCTTCTTTCCAAAGCTCAATTGGCCCAACAACAACATCCACTTTTTCTTGGTAAGAGCTGGTATCTCTTTTGGACCTGGGTATGCAGCCCTGGTAGCATCGGGAAGAATAATCATATACCCTGCACACCACCATTTTAAACTGCAGGTAAACTGATGAATATTGGTTAACAAACTTGAAGGCATTAAATTTGAAGCGTATGGTGGAGCTGTAGGGTGAATAGTATGTACCGTAGGTAGGATCTCTAGCACATCTAAAATAAACAAATAAATACAATTAATCTTCATGTGTACGCACAAAAATAAATCACTGACATCAAGCATTTCCTATGTGCAAAGATTTAAAAAAATTAACACTGCATTAACAACAGAAAGGGACAAAAATATGTATTTGTAGTAAGAAGAGAAAATGAAAGAGGTTAAAATAGTGGCAGTGACTTGTCTGAAAGCAAAACATGCAATATCGCTTTCCCTAATTCAGCAAGGTATTTATGTGCATGCCTAAGAGTGTGAGTAGTTTTACTGAACTCGCATGCTTAAAGTTAAGCTTGTGCATAAGTCTTTATAGAATCAGGGCCCATGACTGACAAGTTGCAAAGGAATCACCTAAAGGTGTCATGGCAATTAATCTATGGAAAGGGCCCAGAGCTGCTTATTTATATCTCCAGGTCGTCATGCATATGATCCCTATAGAGCAGCTGATGCAAAGGGTGTTAATTGTTCCTGTTAAGGGGGGAGGGATAGCTCAGTGGTTTGAGCATTGGCCTGCTAAACCCAAGGTTGTGAATTCAATCCTTGAGGGGGCCACTTAGGGGATCTGGGGCAAAAATCAGTACTTGGTCCTGCTAGTGAAGGCAGGGGGCTAGACTCAATGACCTTTCAGGGTCCCTTCCAGTTCTAGGAGATAGGTATATCTCCATATATGTTGTTATTATAAGGGGAAAATGTAACCACGATTTAAGCTCTTAAGTGAGGCTGGCCAGAAAACAACAATTCCATTTCACAGACAATTTTGAAATTTGTTTTTGTTCCAATGCAGAAGAAAAATGAGAAACCAAATGTGAGAGAGAGCCAACCCAGACTAGCCAAGGCTGTTACCCAGGAGATGGGAGACCCAGGGTCAAGTCCCTGCTCTGCAGAGTCCCCCCAGCAGAGCAGGGACTTGACCCTCTGTTTCCTGCAGCCCAGGCAAGCACCCTAACCAGTTAGCCTAGGTCTCTCTCTTTGTCTCACCTGAGAAACCCTTCCGAATGTCAGTTCTGTCAGAATTGATACATCTCCATGAAACTTTTCAGCTTCGATGAACAGCTGGGGTTTTTGTTTGTTTTGTTTTTTTAAACAGGAAAAATTTTAGTCACAATTTTTTCTACCAGCTCTACTCTGAAGGGCAGGCTCCATCTCTTTACTAAATGCCTATACAGCTCCTTGCACAATGGGGCCCTGATGTCTGATTGGGTTCTAGGTGCTACTAGATATGAACAATGATGATAAATTCCTTCTTCCGTTCTGTGCCATCTTATCCAACTCACTCCCACTCCTCTGATTTCTGCTTTGGATGCAAGCAGCAAGAAAGTGAACGTTTCCAATGAACCCAATCTCTAGTAAGTCAGCTGCACAAGTCCTTCACAGAACAAAATTCTAGTAAGCTTCACTTTCCTGTCAGCATTGACTCATGCCAAAGTTCCATGCCAGTACATTCTGATTCAATTTAACCACCATGAAAAGGAACTCAATTTATCTGTTAACACACTGATGTTATCTCAAAATAAGGTGCAGAGTTGTCATATGGTCAACGCATTGCATACAAATATTAATGATCTCACTCTCATAATAAAGATCTCAAGGTATTGAACTATTTTTATAATAATCTCAGTTTATACTGTACAATATGTGTTTCTGTTATATTCATGCCAATATTTGTGTCACCTATAGAAAGTTAAGAGATGGTTGAATTTAGATATGGTAAATTTATTTCCTGTTGGGCTTGAATTTAAATAAATATTATTAGATTTAAAATATTTGACTTTCTCTGCATTGAATGATTTTATCATATCATTTCTTAAAAGGGCTGGTCTGAATATTTAATTTTTATCTTATACAATACAATAGATAAGGAGTTTTTAAACCATCATGCAGGTGACTTCCTTAAAACTTAACTTCTGTCTATCCTGCTACTCTTCTACTACCTGGCTGAATTATTTTGAAATTTCATTATTTATTCCCCATTATTTATATACCATTAGAATTTCACCAATAAGTGAATGAGTCAGACATTTCTTGACAATGGGACCTGCTCCTGAAAGATTTGCACTTTCATACCCAGAAAGATGTAGAATCTAGTGATAATGGAGAAGTCTACTGAAATGCTGGCAGGTAAAGCATAGGAAATGCCATAATGGATGAGACCAGTGCCTTTTTTTCTTGCCAGATCTAAGAATCTAATTTGTTTTGTATAATTCATTTATCTAACTTTTCCACAAGAAATGGTTTAAGCCAAGCCACATGAACAATTCTAGGCCATTTGAGTGACATATAGGAAAGCAGGAATATCAAACATTAAACTTCTGTCATTTGAATCAAGGTTTGAATTAGTCATTTGAAATAACATTTCCAGTATAGTACAAAATACAAGAACAGAACAAGAATGAATAATTTAAAAAAAGAATCAGAATATTTTGAAAAAACACAGGTGAATTCTATAGACAAACTATTTGGGGCTGAATTCAATCTTGATGTAGGCAGGTGAAAATTCATTGACCTCAGTGGAGTTTGGGATAAAATCTGCTTACATCACAAGCAGTTACTATGTAACATGCTTGAGTGGACTCTTGCATGACTGCATAGTCTAAACATCATTTCTATTGTTATTTCTCATTTCATAGCAGGATTGGCCAAAAAAGTTTTTTAAAAAAGTTTAGTGGCATAGGGAACTGAAATCAATTCAAATTGTCCCTATTCAAATTATTCCATAAACAAAACAGATACAGAAGAGCATGTATAGATCCATTGTTAATCATTGCTCAGAAAGTCCTTACCCATTCCTGATAATATCATAGGTCGTGGATGTAACACTACTGGGAACAGGTGATGCCACACATGTGTCCAAAAACAACGCCAGATTTGGGTCAGAGCTGTGAATTGAAGCTTGAAGGAATAAATTCTGGTTCAATCTAACGTAGTATGGAGAGTCATACACTGGCCGTGAGAAAGATGGTGATTCGTAGAACGAAATGTTCATGTCATATCTGCTGTACTGAGTTTCATTGACCTCAGTAACATCCTCAGCCACATCCTGAGCAACATACATGATTTCTTTCCATGTGTTTTGGAGCATTTTGCAGTTGACATGCAAGTGAAGATCTTTTTCCCTTTTGACTATGTAACCAGAAGAGGTTGCTTTGATCAAGTTGGAATACATGATAGTATTGCTGTTTCCCTGTTTGACACAGTAAGTACAGAATTATCTAATGTAGTCACATTTTTGCCACAATTACCATTATGTCACTAAACTTTTGATGAACCCATAGAATAACACGCATTTTAAAAGCATTGCTTCCATTGGAAGTATTTTGAAAAGAAATGTGACTTTGGTCATTTCTATTCACAACACATTTTAAACAAAATTGTTGGCTGTATGATACAGTGATTACACTGAGATGTGAAAAAATATTTTCACTGAACCCAAATACAGCCAAGTTAGTTAACATTAATACAAAGGTTGAACATGAAATGTACAAAGGTCCTGATTCAGTAAGGTACTTAAACGTGTTTAACTTAAAGCACATGAGTAGTCCTATTGAAATGAATGCTTTAAATTAGATATGTGTAAGTACCTTGCTGAACAGGGGCCTGTGCAAATACCAAGTATTTTGATTATTCACGAACATCAGCTCATGCTCGAAAAAAGTCTGTGAACATGGGTTGAGGTTGTTCACGTATCCTCCCTGTCCCATAATATTGTAGCTTGACCTTATGGGCAATAAGTGAGGAGTTTCTTCAGGCAGAGGAAGAATAGATGGTAGTGTTCAGTGAATCTGAACCTGCAGTCGTTGGTTCACTTGTAACGCCTGTGAACCACAGCAGGTTTCTGTTCATGACCCACTTCAAAATAAATTCTGCAGTTTGCACAGACCTACTTACACAGGTGCTAAATATTCAACTTCATACCTCTCGTCTTGTGCCACAGCCATTATATGGAATGTTGAATATAATATCGTTTGTTGTAATCTTTGGTTTACAATAAGGGTCATTCAAGCTGACATTCTCTGCAATGTAGCCTTGTGAGAGGAGATAGGCTCTCTTAACAACTGCATGCATGTATTCTGGCAAGCACAGAAGAACTGGTGGGGGGATAAAACATATATTATTAGTGCGTTCAGGCATAGAGTAGTAATTAAATGTTCAACCAATACATATGCTGCTATCTACTCTGCGTGTATATTGGGAGAGGGGAGGGTGTTCATAAGACAAATCACATGATTTCACTTCTCTTATGTCTTAATTATCAAATTATGCACCGGGGGCTATGGTTTAGGCTGTGGATAATTATCACTAAGAAACTCTGCAAATTATTCTCTCCTTGTGATCAGAGAGAGTCTCCCATTAGTGTTAAGGATCATATGAATCACAGTTACCATAGTAGAACAAATTCTGGAGTCAAGAGAAAATCCACTTGAAGTTGCTTGGAATTTTCCTTGAGTAAAATTAAGGACAATACTACCAGGGCCTTTATTAAGGAAATGAACTAAAGACTTTCAGTATTTCTGGGAGAGAATGATCTAAACACAAGGGGAGGTGAAGACAAACAGTAAAGTAAAATGAAATTAGTGTGTTGGTTGACAGCAATTTTGCAATCATGAATTATCCTGATCAGCCAATGGAACTAACCAGTTCTGTGCTATTCAATATGAGTAAGGGTTGCAGAATCAGGGGCTTGCATGTATGACCTTACATAAGCCTTATGGAGTTTGGGCTGACTCACATCAATGAGCATCAAAGTGATAGTCCTTCATTGGGGACTGAATCCTGTATAGTCTTTTCGTGGGGAAAAAGGCACACTCAAAAGAATAGGAGTTTTCCCTGAATGAGGACTTAGGGATCAGGCTTTGAATGTTTGTGAAAGTTGTTCAAGTTCACTTGTGGCCACCTCTGTAGCTGAAGATGTGGACAAATTGCAGGGGACTCATGGAAGAGCATCAAAAACTGGGAAAGGAAGTGCAGGGAATGATTCTAAATATAAATAATTCTAATACTAAACATGTATCAGTAAAGTGCTAAACAGGCATTGAGCTCAGATAAATAAGAACTAATGAGTTGGGCGGAGGACATGAAATTGACTCACGCTGTATGAATTGGATTGATTGCAATGAGAGTTTTGCCTGCATCAGGACTAGGATCAGACCCAAAGAGAATGAGCAGTTAGGTAGTACAAGGGGCCATAAGTAAGAGTAATGAGATGAGATGGTGAAAAAGTAAATTTAGGCTGAATATAAGAGAAAATGTCCAAAAATAATTTGATAATAACAGTTTTATATTTAAACAAAATCAAACTATTGTCTGAAAGTAATAGGTCAGTAATCACACAGTGTGAAAAATGACAGTGAGTGGTACTACACTGAGGTGGTTGAACATTAATCTATGGTTATTTATCAATAAAATCAATAAATAGGCTTGTCTGCTGAAAAGCAAA